AAATGGTATATCCACACAATGGAATACTACACGACAATAAAGAACAATGATGAAGCCTTGAAACATCTTATAACATGGACGAAGCTGGAGGTCATTATGCTGAGTGAATTTACTCAGTCACAGAAGGACAAATATTGTATAAGACCACTATTATAAGAACTCAAGAAAAGGTTTAAACACAGAAGAAAACATTCTTCGATGGTTACGAGGGTGGGGAGGGAGAGTGGGGAGGGACGGTGAGGGCTATTTACTAACTAGACAGTAGATAAGAATTATCTTAGATGAAGGGAAGGACAGTACACACTACAGGGGAAGTCAGCACAACTGGACTAAACCAAAGCTAAGAAGTTTCCTGAATAGAATCAAACACTTTGAGAGACACAGCAGCAGGGGTAGGGGTCGGGGGACCATGCTTTCAGGGGACATCTCGGTCAACTGGTGTAACAAAGCTTGTTAAGAAAATGTTCTGCATCCTACTTTGGTGAGTGGCGTCTGGGGTCGTAAAAGCTTGCAAGAGGCCATCTAAGATGCATCAACTGGTCCCAACCACCTGGAGCAAAGGAGCATGAAGAACACCAATGACACAAGGAAAATATTTGCCCAAGAGACAGAAAGGGCCACATAAACCCGAGACTACATCAGCCTGAGACCAGAAGAACTAGACAGTGCCTGGCTACCACCAATGACCACCCTGACAGGGAACACACAGAGAGCCCCTGATGGAGCAGGAGAAAGGTGGGATGCAGAACCCAAATTCTAGTAAAAAAAAACAGACTTAATGGTCTAACTGAGACTAGAGGAGCCCCAGAAAGCACGACCCCTGGATTCTCTATCAGCCCAGAACTCAACCAATTTCCAAGGCCAACTCTTCATACAGGGATTGGACTGGACTGTGGGACTTAAACTGATACTCTTGAAGAGTGTGCCTCTTAGCTTAAGTAGATACAAGAGACTAAACGGGCAGCTTCTGTCCAGAGGTGACATGGGAAGGCAGAGCCGGTGAGGAGCTGGTTGAATGGACATGGGGAATCAGGGGTGGAAAGGAGGAGCGTGGTGTCACAGTATGGGGAGCGCAATTAGGGTCGCATTAACAATGTCTGTATAAATTTTTGTATGGGAAAAAATAAAAAAAAAAAGAAGCTCCCAAAAGGCCATCCAAGGCACAACAATTGGTCTCCATGCACGTGGGGCAACAAAAGAAGGGTCAGAAATAGAAGAAGGATATGGAATGTATGGCTAATTGCCTTCATGAACAACTGCCTTCTTTATCATGACACTACAAGAACTGGATGGTGCCCGGCTACCATTACTGAACAGTTTGATCGAAGATTCCATAGAAGAATCTTGATCAATAGGGGGAAAATGCAGAACAGAAATTCAAATTCTCATGGACTCTAGATTTTCTGAAGCCATGGTGGGTGAATTAATCCCTGAAACTATTGCCCTGAGATAATCTTTAAACCTTAAACCAAAAATACCCCCTTGAAGCCATCTTTAAACTGAACAATAGTTTAGCTTAATTAGTAAAAAAAAATCTGCCTTGAGCATTATTCTCTTTTAGAAACTACCTATACGGGATCAGATTGACAATAGCAACCTTAGGGGCAGTGAGTTTATGTTAATAAGGGAGGAACAACTCATAAAAGGATGGTGAAAATGGTTGTACAACTCGAAGAATGTAATCAATGTCACTAAATTTTATAAAGTGTTGAACTGGTGTGTTTTACTATGTATATTCTCAACAAAATACATAAAATTTCAAAAAAAAAAAAGGTCACAGCCAAGAAAACCCTATGGAGCAGTTCTATTGTGTAATAGATGGGGTCACCATGAGTTGGAATTAACTCAGTGGCAAAGGGTTTGCTTTTGGTGGAGTCGAGTCCAACTCATGGCACTCCCATGTGTGTCATGGTAGAACTGTGCTCCATAGGGTTTTCAAGGGCTGATTTTTCAGAAGTAGATCGCCAGGCTGTTTTTCCAAGGTGCCTCTGGGTGGACTTGAACCTCCAATCTTTTGGTTAGCAGCCAAGCACATTAACCATTCGAATCACTCATTAAAAATAATTTCTATTAAGAACTGGAGAGAAAGTCTACATTTAAATTCTCTGGGAAGAACCTGGAATGCAGACTTTCTATGTACCTAAGGGCAGAGGGAAGGCTGTAGGACAATGAGACACTCGTCTTCCTGCCATTCCTGCTGACCACAATCCATACTTTCAGTCTGCAGCACCATCCATTCACTATGCCATGTCACCCTCTATGCTGTCACCAGCTGCCAAGGGTACACTATCAGGGAAAAGTAGATTGAAAACCATACTTTTCAGAGTTAGACAAAAAGAGGCTATAAAACAAAGACACAGTCTGGAGCCAGGGCTCAGGGATGCCACCATTTGTGGTTCCCCCCACAACTCCCCTTTTCCCTAGCAAGTCCTAGACATCTGTATTCATATTAGTAACAAAGCCTGAAATTCCACCTGCTATGAGATTTATCAGAGCAATTATTTATTGAGATGTAAACATATCTGAGTGAATTAGTAAAAAAAATAATTTCTCAAACTTTTATTTTCCTTAACTACTAAGATCCATCAAATTAAGAGGAACAGGAGTTGTTATTACGGGGACAGGAAGAAGAGGTCATCGTAACACCCAGAATAAAGTGGAAGCAAAGGCAAGCCTGATGGGAAGGGGTAGGACAGCAGGGGACATTAGGAAGCTGAGAGGGGCAAGATGGGAGAGGGGGATCAAAGGACAAAAACATCAACTCTACATTTTTGTTTGAGTTGGGCCTACATCTAGAAAAAGGAAAGCAATGTCTTCCCTCTCTTCTTCTTGTACATTCTGGCCTTGAATCTAGGGCCAATAACATTTATACCATGGTTCAGATAGTTCATGGACTAGCCTGCGAGTTTACTTACCATTTATCCATTTCTAACATTGCTTCAAACAAAACTCTCACTATGGATCTTCAGTATATATCCCTCGGAACCAACCAAAGCAGTTTAATCCCTGTGCCCTGAGCCTGTACAGCAAATATTTTCAAATACCTTTGGGTATCTTTCAGCTTTCCTTACCAAGTGTAACAGGTTCCCATATTCGCAGGCTCAAATTTTGAGCACATCCCACCTAGATGGACATCAGACAGAGGCAAACAGACTCTCCCTGCTCTGGAAGAGATTTGAAACACAGGCATCTTATTTTACCCCAACAGCCGGCCATACCTACTGTGACCTGGGGCTCCTCGCCCCACCTGGCTGCCTGTTCAACTCTGACATCTCAGCCCTCTGGCTCACAGGAGCCTCTGTCAGCCCAGTCCTTCCTCTCACCTCCTCAACCCACTTCTTCTGCCCACTAGACTCTGCCTTCACCTTAGCTCTGAGACCCTGTAGCCGATCTGGAATCTTCCTAGCTTTCTTTCAGGCCTATTGCCACCCAGACAGTTGACCAATAATAAAGCTCTTCTCTTTATATATTACAGAAGGGAATGGATCAAGTTTTGTTTATCCCTCAAATGTATATGCACAAGATTGGAATTTTTTTTTTTTATGGAAAAAATATTTTTAAATGAATGCTGAACCGGCAGTACCTGTTTCAGAAAGGCCTCCAAGGCCGCGTGTGCAGCTTTCTTCAGCTCTGCATTGGTATGGCCACACCATTTTGACAGCAAGTCAAATAAAGACACATAGTTGTCCAGAAGGCAGGTACTGAACTGGGATGCATGCAGGGCAAACAAGCGCAAACCAGCTGCAATCACAAAGCCATCACATTTCAAATAGAACTACAGGAGCCAGAACAAAGAAGTAAGAAAGCTCCCAGTATGTGTCAAAGTTCAAGCTGTTTCCATGGTAATCCAATACCACTACAATATAATAACCCAGAGAACTACCAGCCTCCACTTGAATTGACAGGCCCCAGTGTGGCTGGAGAACCTCAAAATGAGGTGCAGAAATAGGACAGGGATTTATTTGACAAAGATGCCCTGAATGATTTCTTTAAAAATCATTTAACCTAACCTTACGGGGCAGTGAGTTTATGGTAATGGGAGGAACAGCTCAGAAAAAGAAGGTGAGAATGGTTGTACAACTCTAAGAATTTAATCAATGTCACTGAATTGTACATGTACAAACTACTGAACTGGTATATGTTTTGCTGTTTGTATTTCAACAACAACAAAATACATAAATACTTTTTTTTAAATCATTTCACATAAGTGTGACTATCTCAACCAAGTTGTGTGGTCCCCAAAATTTCACCTATAAATATTGTTGTGTAAAAATCGTAGATGTTAGCATATTTACTTTCACTCATTGTTTAAATGAAAGTCAACTAATGCATTAATTTAGTAATCTAAGAAATTATATTTCCTTAAGAGAAGCATACCTGAGGGCACAGCGTATCTCTTCAGGTCAATCTATTTTAGAGAAAAAATTCACCATCAATGGTTGACCATCGCAAGTCTCAGGTGTAGAAAAATTAGAGCAATCATTTACCCTACCTGAGGACAAATTGCCTTTCGTGCAAAATCAAAAATCTCCCTTGAAGTCTGAGGATCTGAAAAAATAACAAAAAGAAGCCTCTGTTACAAATCATAACAACAGTTTCATTTGAAATACAAACAACTTTACAACTAGCAGCTTTATTTCAGACAGCTTCACATCAATGTTAACTCCAAAAGGCCCTTGTAAATTCAGGAGTAACATTTCAAAGCATTCCACCAGCCAGAGTTGCAAGGGTCACTACTGTAGGAAAGCAGAAAGAGCAATTTAGAATAACAAAGACTAAATTCCAACTCATCACTTACAAGCTGTTAGATAATCTCCCCTAAGTTTCAGTTTTCTTCTGTAAAAAGGGACAGTATATACCTTCTTGAAGGGTTGTTTCAAGGATTAAATGAAATAACTCATTCAAGGCCAAACACATTCTTTTACTATCAATGCTCCCACACACGTACCAAGTTATTATAGGAATTACAAAGATGGATAAAATACTAGGAAGCTTTCATGCAACTTTGCCGGATTTACATTACAAAAAAAAAAAAAAAAACCCACCGCGGTTGAGTGGATTCTGACTCATAGTGACCCTACAGGACCGACTAGAACTGCCTCACACAGTTCCAAGGCTGTAATCTTTACAGAAGCAGACAGCCACATCTTTCTCCTGCCACATCTTTCTCCTGCAGAGCAGCTGGTGGGTTGAACAACTGACCAACCTTTCTGCTACCAGCCGAGCGCTTTAACCACTGCGCCAACGGGGCTCCCACCAGATTGTTTACTGCCAACTACACAGAAATCATGCTTTCTTCATCACTAATTTATCTGCCCTTCAAACAGTGACCTGCAAATAGCAGAAGTTCAAGAATTGTTTGCTCTGATTTCATGGACTGATATATGTTGAAGGCAGAGCCCAGATGACTATCTGACAGTAGTTGGAGGGAGAATGGGGTCAAGAGAGGATTTGAGAGAAATATCAGCATATTTGTAAGATGATACCATAACATACACCAAAAAAAAAGTTACTTTAGAATGCAATACAAAGAGAGATTTCCTCTGGTTGCGAACCTTCAGGAAAGGCTTTACAGAAATGATAGCATTTGAGCTGGGCCTAAAAGCACAGGCAGGAGTTGGGGAGCAGGTCATGCAAACAGACGACACAGAGGCGCTAGGCAACGCTCACAGTGCTGGGAAGTCAGGCCCATGAGGAAAGACTTGAACTTCCAGTGGTAGGAACGGTACTGTCTTCTCAAGGCTTTGCCTCCCACTGTCCGTTCTCCTGCACCAATCTCACCCTCTCTGGTGGCCTGCTCCTGTACAAGCATGCTCTTGCAGGTTTCTAAAAACCTCCATATTCCACGTCTCCCATCAGCTATACCCTGTTTCTTTGCTCTCCTCTGCTATAAGATTTCTCTGAAGGGTTTTCTTCAGACAGCCTCCATCTCCTCCCTTCTGTTCAACTTTTCTTCACCCTGTCTGGCTTCTCGTTGAGATGGAAGCCTCTCCCCTATTCCCCTCACTCAGAGCCCTCTCGGAGCAAGGCAGTGCTGCATCTTTCCTCAAGACTATCTCTTCTTAGACCCTGCTTAAATTGTGTCCCCTAAAGAAGACACATTGAAGTCCTAACCCCTGTAACTGTCATTGTGACCTTGTTTGGGGAAATAGAATTTTTCTTTGCAGAGGTTATCAGTTAAGTTAAACAAGATCATACTGGAGCAGGATGGTCCCTAATCCTAATCCCTTCTAAGCGGTGTCTTATAACAAAAGGGTCATACACAGGAAAACAACAATATCTGAGGATCCATCTACATACAAGCTAAGGAATGCCAAGAAACATTCAGGGCTGCCAGAAGCTGAAAGAGATGAGAAAGAATCTTCCCCTAGAGCCAATAAAAAATAGCATAGCCCTGCCACACCCTGCATTCAGGTTTCTGGCCTCCAGAACTGTAAGATAATAAATTTCTGTCCTGTGCAGCCACCCTCTTTGTGATGTTTTGTTATGGCAACCCTAGGTAAATAAGACAGACCCTTTGCCTGTCTTCTCAGTCCTTGCTCCCTAGGTAGTCATTTATACTCACAACTTTAAACACCATCTAGATACTGAAGAGAAACTCTGGTGGTGTAGTGGTTAACTGGTTAAATAGTTAGTGGTTAAGACCTATGGCTGCTAACCAAAAGGTCGGCAGTTCGAATCCACCAGGCTCTCCCTGGAAACTCTATGGGGCAGTTTTACTTTGTCCTGTACGGTCTCTACAAGCCGGAATCAACTCAACGGCAACAGGTTTGGTTTAGATGCCGAAGATATCCAAATTTATATCTCAAGTTCTAACCTCTCCTGCAAGATCTAGTCTCATATATGTAACTGCACATTAAACATCTAAACTTGGATGATTCCTTTGCATCTCAAACTAAACATGTCCAAAACAAAAAGCATGATTTTTGGCCTAAAATCTAGTCCTCCTCCATCCTACCCAGCTTATTAATCAGCCACACGAACTTCATTTACTCACTTCCCACATTCAAGAGCAAATTTTCTCTATCCTACCACTAAAAAAGATATCTCAAATCCATCTAACCCCCAAAAAAAACAAACCTGTTGCCACTGAGTTGATTCTGACTCATAGTGACCCCTATAGGAAAGAGTAGAACGGCCCCATAGAGTTTTCAAGGAGCGGCTGGTGGATTCAAATCACCAACCTTTTGGTTAGCAGCCGCAGTTCTTAACCACTGCACCACCAGGGCTCCAAAATATTCCTCTAAAGCATACCTCAAACCCACAGCAGTTAGACTGACCTTTTTTAAAACATCAACTCATCCATGTCAGTCCTTTATTTAAACCCCTGCTTACCTGTCCAGTCTCTTTGCCTTGCTGCTTGCTCACGAAGTCCCACATATGCCCGCTCCCCGTGCACTCCTCAGATGACCTCATATTCTCCAGGCTGAGGCCATGTGTCTACATGGTTCCTTGCCCAGAATGCTCCTCCCTAGCCAGCTTTTTCTCACCCTGCTCAGGACAAGGACCAGCTGACTATGTGGTCCTCTACCTCCCCAAACTACTATTCCTGTTCACTGTACCCATAGTGCTCCTTCACTAGACCCTGGCATTGGTAACAGCTTCTTTGTTTACTGTCTGCCTCCTCCACTATACAGCTCATGATGTAGGAACTTAGTAATTTTGATCACTGACTCCAACACCTAATTCATCACTCTTTAGATAGTTGGTACCCAGGATGTATTTATTTTATGAAGGAATGCATTAGTTAATTTTTAGTGCTTGAAGTCACATGATCATGGAATGACAGAAAAAAATATGCGTTTTAGAGCCAGACCAAGGCTAAAATCCCAGACTTGACACTAGTTATATTAGTTTCCTAAGAACGTTGTAACAAATTACCATAACTTAGTGCCTTAAAACAACACAAACATATTATCTTAGAGTTTTGGAGACTGAAATCTGACATGGGTCTCACAGAGCTAAAGGTGTCAGCAGGGCTGCATTCCTGTCTAGAGGTTCTAGAGGATAATCTGTTTCCTTGCCCTTTCCACCTTCAAGAGGCTGCCTGCATGCCTTGGCTCATGGCCCTCCACCCCGTCTTCAAAGCCAGGAACAATGAGTAGGGGCCTCCTCACATCACATCTCTATAGACACTGGCTCTTCTGCCTCCCTCTTTCACTTTTAAGGACATTGTGATTGCACTGGGCCCACTTGGATAATCCAAGACACTCTCCCAATCTTAAAGTCAGCTGATTTGCAATGTTAACATCATATGCTACCTTAATTCTCCATTAGATGTAGACATTTTGGGAGCTATTAATCTTCTACCACACTAACTGTGTGACTTCGGGCATGTTACTTAACATGTCTTAGCTCCAGTTTTCTAACCTATAAAACAGAGATGTTACTCACTATGTTATAAAGTTATTACAGGAACTTTCCTTGCAAAAGTGTCTAGGACAGTCCTTAGCACAAGGTAAATGATTATTAAGAGTTATTGTTTTCCTTGAACAATATATATTCATCAAGTGCCAATTTATACACCGAGCAAATACAAACATCAATAAACAACACTACTTGCCAGCAGAGTCAAGTGGCAGAAATAAATATGTAACCTGGTAAATTACAAATACCACATAGGAATTGAGAGTTCATAAATAAACACACACAACAGATTTTTGACAAGGCAGCTAAGTCCATTCAATGGGGAAAGAAGAGTCTCTTCAATAAATGATGTGGGGAAAATTGGATTGCCACATGAAGAAAACTGGAACAAGATCCATGCCTCACACCATACACACAAAAAAATTCAAAGTGGATTAAGGACCTAAAGGTTAAAACTAAAATCACAATTGGCCTAACACAGTTTATAAAGAAAATGTTCTTGGTGAGCAGCGTCTGGGGTTTTAAAAGCCTGTAGCGACCATCTAAGATACTCCACTGGTCTCACCCCTTCGGTAGCAAGAGAGAATGAAGAAAACAAGATACAAGGAAAAGATCAGTCCAAAGGACTAATGGACCACAACTACCACGGCCTCCACCAGACTGAGTGCAGTACAACTACATGGTGCCCGGCTACCACCACTGACTGCTCTGACAGAGATCACAGTAGAAGGTCCCGGACAGAGCTGGAGAAAAATGTAGGAAAAAATTCTACAAAATTCACTAAAAAAGACAAAACTTACTGGCCTGATAGAGATTAGAGAAACCCCAAGAGTATGGCCCCCAGACACCCCTTTGGCTCAGTAATGAAGTCACTCCCAAAGATTACACAGGCCCATAAAACAAAACGAGACTAAAGGGGCACAACAGCCCAGGGACAAAGACTAAAAGGCAGGAGAGGACAGGAAAGCTGGTAATAGGGAACTCAAGGTCGAGAAGGGAGAGTGTCAACATGTCATGGGGTTGTTAACCAATGTCATAAAACAATATGTGTACTAACTCTTTAAATTCAAAACTAGTTTGTTCTGTAACCTTTCATCTAAAGTACAATTAAAGAAAAAAACCTAAAACCATAAAATGCTTAGAAGAAAAAGCAGGGTCAACGTTGTCAGGAGTAGCTTTCA